GTGACACGAGGGAACAAAGTAAATAGCATTGCCATGAAAACTGAAATATCCAGTCAAGTTCTTCATTCTCACCTTTGCTTCTTCGTTCTACACAAATATAATTTAAAGCTTACAGAGGTCTTAAATACGATCCATGTTTGTATACACAATTTCTTCCTTTTCAATTCTCAAATGAGGAGAAAAATACTTTTTAAAAAAGTTGAATACAATGTAGCAATGTTTAAATGCTTAAAATATAAAATTAAAGTGAAAAAGAAAGGCAAAATGTACACTATAACTACATAAAGATATACACATGTGACCAAGGATTGACATAGAACAGAAAAATGAACTGTTGACGTGTTAGGACAGAGTTTCTCAACCTTGGCACTATTCACATTGTGGGCTGGCTAATCCTTCGTAGTGGGCGGATGTTCGAGTATAGGAGGATGTGTAGCAGCATTCCTGGCTTCTACCAACTGGATGACCAGTTGGGACAACTGAAAATGTCTCCATTCATTGCCAAGTGTCTCTTTGGGAGGGGAAGGGGGCAAAATCATTCCCCAGGTTTAGAACTACTATGCTAGTGTGAGAGGATAATTTTTTTAAATTATGTTAATGTTGCCAGAAAGGTGTTTCTTCAATAAATATATATTGAGGGGAAAGGAAAGTGCCTTAAAATATAGCACCTAACAGACCCTTTTTTCAAGAATTAAAATTTATTCAGTTTCCATTTAACAGGAAAAATTGAAAAAGGTGTAGAATTAGTTTTTCTTTTCTAAGCTATTATAGAAGAGAAAGCTGAATTTCTCAGTATTTGGAAATTTGACCTGGCTGGAAGCATGAGACATCACAAATAATGGCTGTAATTGGCCTGAGAAATAAAAAATCCAAATCATTCTAGCCCCAGAAATATCTGTTAAAAATGTACCCTTTGCATATCTTCAAACTACTGAAGAAGAAACAGTAAGACTCAACAAGGAACACATACTTTCAGACAAATTAGTTTTCCAAGCTAAAATACAATTGCACTGGATCTAAATGACTCATTCTATTTCTAAAGCCCTCTGTTCCAGTCTTTTTAGGACTATTGAGGCTGCTGCCTTGCCAAAAATATTTATTTTCAATCATTCCTCCTCATTGTTTTCGTTTCTTGGCTCACAGCACAAAGAATGTTTTCTGATTAAGAAACTGACATGAAGAGGAGACACAAGAACTGTTTCAAGCATCTCCTTTCCAGAAAATTCTATCGTATCAAGGTGTTGGGTTCATATGGGCTTAAAGTTGAAATCCTGTTACATGATCATTCTGAATGATCTTTTCACATGCATGAACACATCACTAAAATTTAAGCCTAACACAGTATTCACTTAAGCAAGGAACAATCTTCTTTCTTTATATAAGCCTAGGGTTGGCCCAAAAATGCATTATGATTTTTTTCCCTCCATTTTCAAGCCACACTTGGCTGGTAGTAATTTACTGCTTGTATTTACCAGTGTGCACTTCTCCATTCAAGTCTCTAGTTTACCCAAGACAGAAAGCTCGCTATAGTGCAGAGAAACCGAGAAAATCTTCCAAATGATTCTAGGCCTGGAGAATGTGAAATACTTAGCGACCCAAAGCATTTGTAGCAGGAAAGCGAAAGGGGGTGGTCTACAGATGACAGAGGTAGTGGAGACAAACGGACATTCAGTAACGTGCAGCGTGGACGAGAAAAGGTGAAATGGCTGTGGAATGAGCAGGATGAGAAAACTGGTGCTCAGGGTGATGAGAGAAGTGGATGAGGTTGTAGCTTGAAAGCAGAAGGGAACTGACTTGATGACGTCTGAAGTTGAGGATACAAAGGGCCTCCAGAGCTTCATTGGGAATTAAAGTGGAAGCCAAAAATGGCAGTTCTTTGTTCTCAGGCCTCAAACCGGGGGAGCCGTGGCCTCGTGGACCTTGTAACGGCCTGGACCGTCAGGTGCCGCCGTCTGTGCAAGGGTGAGTCTTGGCCTGGAAAGTGAGAGAAGGACCGCCTACCTAACTGGGGCGTTCTGAGCCCTCTCTCCATAGGAGCGGCAGCCTAATTCCAGATGCCTGTGGCGGCTGGGTCCCGGGCAACGGGCGAGTCCTTCTTCAGGCGGAATCCCTCCAACCCGCGGCTCGGAAGGCCGAGCCAGAGGAGGCTCTCGTCCAGTCGTTTCGGGCCATACTGGGGAGAGAAGCGTGAAAGACCGGGAACGCTGAAAAAGAGCGGAGAATAGCTGCTTCCCTCCTCGGGGCTGAGGCGGGAAACTCTGGAACCAGGCCGGAAATCGTCTTTTGGAGAGGCGACGAGGGTCCCCGGGCCGCTCCGCTCCCCCGCCGCTCCGCGGCCCGCCGCAGGTGCCTTAGGAGTCCCGGGCGTCATAGCAACCGCGCTCGCCGCAGAGACGCCAAGGCGTCCTTCCGCTGGGAACCATAGAAACGACGCACACCATTGGCTCAGGGGCGGTCCTTCCTGTGGAGACCATTGTTACGACGCACATCATTGGCCTTCGGGTCGTGGGGCGGGGTGCCTCCGGCAGGAACGAAGGTACGCCTCATTCCATTGGCTTCGTAGTAACCATGGTAACGTCATGGCGCACACTTGCGATTTAGAGGTTACATTTTGTTACAGAGCATTTAGTTCTCAAATAGCTTCCCGGCAGGCCTTTTCTAGAGCCCCAGCCTAATAACCTTGGATTTATTTTTCTACAGTAACTTCATTCTCAAAAGGGAGAGGGTGCTAGGTCAGAAGTTCTGAATTTTAGGCCTAGATCTGCCACTACCTACCTGGGGCACCTAAGACAATCACAACACTTTTGGACCTGGCTTATTATCGTAAAAACGAAGAAACCGGAGTTAACTAGAATTATCCCTAAGGCTGAAGACCTTTGAAAGTCCTAAGCACTAAAAATTCCGTTTAGGCGAACCATATCCTCCACCCATGTAATGCAAAATAAAAACTTCTAAATGACACAAAATTTAACATACGCTCGGTTTACATCATCTTCATTTTAATGCTCTTATGGCCAGATTCTAGTTAGTTCATCAAAGCTCGACTTTACTCATGTTTTGGGGTCCTTGCCTTGCTGGTATCCCAAACACCTACTTGCCTTTCTTACTCTTATTCTAGGTCCGCACAGGATCTTTCCCAAAGCTTTGCAGCTTCTACATGCATTATCTTGACGACTCTTACCCCTTACTTTCCAGAAGTGCTCTCGCCTCTCCCTCTGGCACCAGAGCCCTTCCAAGTGTTTTATCCCTGATCTAAAATGCTCACGACCATCACCTCCAGCCCACTTAACTCCTACTTATCAGATCAAGCGTCACTCCCCCAGGGATTTGTTCCTTGGTCCTCCAATCTAGATCAAGTTCCTTCTTATTTGCTCTCATTGACTCCTGTTTCTTTTCATTCTTTCCTTTTTTAAATACACTTCCACTTGCTGTTAAAACAAAAACCAAAACCTCTTGGGGCTTTTACACTGTAAATACTGTTTAAGTGCTCTGAATGGAAACTAAACTGAATTGGAAAACACTTTAAATAATTCCATGTAGGGTAGTGGTGGTGGTTTTTAAGCATTAACAAAACAGGATAGGAAATAGTTCCCAAAGGAAGGAATGATTGTGGCAAAAATAAACGTTAGGATCACTTCTAGTTTTAACTCCATTTATTCTCATTGTACGTTCAAAGATGATGACAGTCATCATCCATACGAAGATACAGATGTCGGGAAGAAAGTCAATCTTCCACTTCCTGCTGCTTCAGCACTGCAGCCACTGCTGATAGAGCCTGTTGCTTTTGGGGTTTTGCCTGACGGTAATTTAAAATTTTTGTTCAGTGGGACTGCTGCTTCCACAACAGTCCTGATGCTGCAGTTCCTGCTCCTCGGCTCAAGTTTACACTTCCCGATTCAATGCGGTATTTCAGTGCATCATGGCGCTTCTGCTGAAATCTTTCCAATTAAAATTTATTGTACCTCTATTATCCATCAGACGCATTGGGCTAACCCTTCCCAACTCACTCCAAGAAATATCACAAATTGCATTCAAAATCAAATTTTTATGTGAAGTACAGTACCTGCTCCTACCTAGTTATTAATGGTAGTTTTTCATATTGCACTCTAGAGTTTTCTGGACTACACTTCTTGTGCACTCCCAACCCAAAGCCCAGGGCAGTGAGAGGAGCTTTGAAAACCTCAAGGATTCAGGGCTCGAGCAGGTCACCAGCATAATACTGCCTCGCTAAGTGAGAAAAATAATCATTGCGACCATTTATTATGAACTATGTCCCAGGTGCCAGACTAATGCTTTATCTTCACCGTTGTTTTTTTTTTTTTTTAAAGATTGGCACCTGAGCTAACAACTATTGCCGATCTTCTTTTTTTTTCTGCTTTTTCTCCCCAAATCCCCCCAGTACATAGTTGTATATTTTAGTTGTGGATCCTTCTAGTTGTGGCATGTGAGACACAGCCTGAGCATGGCCTGACGAGCGGTGCCATAGCCCAGTATCTGAACCCGTGAAACACTGGGCTGCCAAAGCAGAGCTCGCAAACTTAACCACTTGGCCACGGGGCCGGCCCCTTCACTGCTTTATTTAAATCTCACAACAAATGGCATTATTTTGCAGAAATTATCCCCACTTTATAGATGAGTAAACTGAGACTAAGTCACATGTCTAAGTTTACAAAGCTAGTAGGTGGCACACCTGGAATAGTCAAGCCTGACTACAATGACTCCAAAGCCAAAACTATTTACCACATTGTAATGCTTCCCTCAGGGCAGAGGTCACCAGTGGGCCCCTGCCTGGCCCAAGGTGATTAAGTTTCCCTGCAAAGCAGTCCTAAATATTTGAAAGGTAAATTGTAAACTCAAATAGGGACTGAATCTAGGACAAGATGCAAAAAGTAAACGGAGTGGGAAGCTCGTCATTCTAGAGGCATTCTATCTCTAGAGAGCTGTCCTCTCCTACGCCCATCTTTAATAAATTTCCAAAAAACAACATCTTTTCCACTGTATCGGCTTTTGGGCACACATTTTATTGCACTTAATTTTTTAGATATCCATTTCCCAAATTAGGCATGTTCATTCACCTTTTTAATCCTCAGGTCCTACCACATAGCAGGCATCAACAAATATGTGATCTTCAAAGCATGGCCATTCATGCATCCATAATCCTTTTTATAGTATGAAGGAGGTTGATAGTCAGGCCCCATATGTATATTTTGAGGAATATAATTCCCAATAAGCTCTTTTTCTTACAAGTGAGAAACAGCTCCTGTTCATTTTCAAAATCAAGTTGACATTTAGGTGAGTGTGTCAGGTGGTTTGGTCATAACTGCTTTGCCTTTGTTTTCATTTTTAACGAGGATGAAATGATCTTTAAAAGACAAATACCAAACCATATTCGCCTGCACACCACTCACTGCTTTGTCCCTTCATTTTCTGTCTTTATGAAAGCAAAGGATTTATTCTAGTTCTCACCATTCGTAAGAGCCCTGGTCCACTGAACAATTTTTGATCCTATATGGGCTTTTTACTTCAGTTTTTGTCATCTATAAAAGCTGTGTGTCGAGACTGAAGGTCATCCACTATCTTCTCTTCTATCTCTATGCCTTTTTCTAGTTCTTCTTCTGATAGCAATAACTTGGTTTCTGAGTCTTTGGTTATAATAACCACAAGGGACCGTAGGGACTCAAGGATATTAGCCACCACCACTTGATGTCGATAAATTTCCAAAGCATTCCGTGCACGATCAATTACGATGGAGGGGTCAGTCTCCAACTTAAAGGAAATTATAAATGCTTTGGGAGCCCAGTCTTTAACCAAAGGAGAAAGCATTTTTGGCACCATCTTCATTGTTATCTGTATTGGAAAAAGAAAAGCTTAATAAGCAAACAACGGTCACTACCTACCAGGTCAATCTCATGGGAAACTAAAGAAGCAGGGACTCAGATTTTTGGCTAAGTCAATTTAAGTGGGATTTCTCTTTCTCAAACTCTTCAAAGCACATGAAATGCTTAGCTTAAAAGCCTTGGCTCTATAGGGTTCATGAGGATGACTAATTTCAAGGCTTCATCCATACTCCGGGGCAAACCACATCTAATGACTCAGCCCTGGCCTGCCACCCTCATCACCATTAACAGAGCTCTAAACAACAGCGTTACATTTTCTCAAACATTCCCCTTTATTTTTTCAACCAAACTCTCAAATAAACAAATGCAAATAATCTATTCATGCAAATGTTACTTTGGCAAAAGCTCAAATAAAGTTGGGTTTATAAACAAAGTTTTTAAGCCTCTCAGCCTAAAATATTTCTTACACTAACAGAATGGCTATTTGATTTCATTTAAAAATTGTCACTTGTAATACATCTTAGCACTGAGGAAACAGATCTGATTTTCTTTATTTTCACTTGATCAAAACTCCTTTATACCACTCTCGATCTCTTCTAAAGGGAATGTTGAGTTGTTTTGTGTACTTTCAAGACAGAACTAAAAAATACGGGATAAACTTAAAGCTCCCAGAATTTCAAAAGTGTGAAATCACTAAGCTAATCATCAGGGTTTCCCCTCAAAAAGTTGGCAAGTGTAATAGGGATCATATACCCAACCCCACTTTACTTTTCTCCTTAGCATTTAGCACTACCTAACATAGTATGCATTTGACTTACTTATCATCTCCTCTGCAGAGTATAAGCAACATAAGGACACAGCATGTGTCTTTTCACTGTCTTATCTCCAGGTCCTACAGTATGTCTGGCATAGAGCATGCACTTGATAAACATTTGTTGAAGAAATGAACAAACGCACTATCCTACAAAGTCAGCAAGTGCTCCACAGGTAGAGTTTCTCCTATTTAAATTCTACTTGTATCACCAATAAATGACTAAGAATTCCCTAAGGTTCCAAGAAGCCAGATCATCTCAACATCTCAACCACATCGCTACCCTACCCATACGTCTTCCTTAAACTACAGCAATAACTTCCATCCAGTCTATCCCCGACCACCCTCTCTCTCAAATTCACCTTTCATACGATGCTAGAATGTTCTCCTCAAATAAAACCTTAATCTCATTCTCCTATTTATGTTTCCCCCGGCTTCACAGGACAAAGCCCAAGCTCCTTAAGAAAGAACACAAAGTCTTGTATGAAGTGAGTGTTTCTTCAGTCTGCCCTCCACCTCCACCTCTCCCTGTTCTCCAGCTTTACCAAACTTCGGTTCACAGCATACTGCCCACTTCCAAACTCCAATTATGTTCCCTATCCGGAAAGACCTTCCCTGCTTTGTCTAGTATACCCTCTGCTCATCTTTTAAAACCCAGTTCAAGTCATCTCCTCCAGAAAGCCTTCCTTGACTTCCCCAAGATTCACTCACCCCACGTTCTGACTTCACTTTGTACGTACCTCTACTAGAGCATTTATCACTCTGTATTGTAATTATGTCTGTATCCAGCTCCCTCACTAGATTGTGAGGTCCTTGAGGGAGGGCGGTGTCTTATTCATCTCTGTATCCCTAGTGCCTAGCACATACGGAATGCAGAAAGGCCATCTCCAGATCAAGAGGGAATTAACCCAAGATTGGTTATAGGGGATCAGATCTCTGGAAGAGAAGCGCCCATCACCTGCAGTGGGCCCCCAGATGACTGGATCTTGTGTTGAGGCATTTCAGAGACAGGCACATAGAAATCTGACACGGCCGCAGCCAGGTAAAACATCGCAGAAGAGCCTGCAAAGATAAGCACAGGGTGTAATAAACCGGAAGGGGGTATAGGATCAGTTCATTTTCAATTCAGGCTCGCCAGCTGTGAGACCCGGGGTAAGGAGTGGGTAGGGGGACAAGTGTCGGGGAGAAAGGCTCTGCCTCGGGGCAACCGGTGGACTCCCAGGGCACGCACCTAGCGGATTGAGGGCCTGGGCCGCAGCCTGCAGCAGATGCAAATAGTCCGCCAAAGTGGTGAACTCTACGGCCAGGAAGGTGCCGGCAGCCGCAGCCTCCTGGTAGCTCCGCAGAGCCGCAGCGAAGCCCGGGAGTGCATTCTCCTCGGCCTCCAGACTCAGCAAGCCCGAAGGGCCTGGGTCGGAGGGCCGCAGAGCCGACAGCCAGGTCTGGGGCGGGAAGCGGTGGGCAAAGGGGAAGGCGGAGCGCGCGCGGTACAGGAACAGAACGCCGTAACCCGCGGCCAGGAAGGCCTCGGCCGAGGCTGCACCGCGCCGCCCGCTGCTGAAGTTGTCCAGGAAGCGCACTGGCCGGGCTTCCAGTGGCACCTTGGTGCCTCCAGAAGTGACCAACACCACCCGTCGGCCCTGCTCGCCCAACCTGGCGGCGAAGCGAGCCATAACCTCGGCCCAGCGCGCGGCACCGGCTGGCTGGGGGAACTCGGCGACCAGATCCACTTCCGCCATCAGTCTCTGGCGCCCCCGCGCCTGCGCAGGCTCCAGGGCGGCCGGCACCACGCCCCTTGCCCCCATACCTGGGCCACGCGCAGCCGCAGTAACGAGGGGGAGGTTCGCTACCCTGCGCTGGACGTCACTGTAGGTTTCTCCACGTCTGGAAATGCGTGCTGATTCTGCCGTACATCCCAGAAATATTGACGCCGAGCTGACGGGGCTTCTTGGCTGCGCAAGCCTCTGGAAGGGTCACGTGCCGTCGTGTTAGTTCCCTAGCCTGGGTAAAGAACAGGCCATGTTTGATCCTTACCGGCCACCATATAGGCCTTCTTGGACTTGGATTCCAAGGGAGTTAGGCTGGGGGCCATTTAACGTTTGAGATTTGTGTGGGAGTCGTTTTTCGGTTTTTTTTTAACCCCACAAACACACCCCAGGGGTCAGTAGAGTCACGCCCCTCCCTCTTGCCCTTGAAATGTTGGGAACGAGGCTGCCCCGTCGTGGTCACGTGACGCCGGCGTCCCGCGTAGCCTGGCCTGGCAACCGTCCTGGAGACGGACGCCGCCGGCTGCAGCATGAACGTGATCTACCCGCTGGCGGTGCCCAAGGGGCGCCGGCTCTGCTGTGAGGTGTGCGACGCCCCGGCCGAACGGGTGTGCACGGCCTGCACGGTCACTTACTACTGGTAGGCCCTGAAAGGTGGCACCTGGGCGCTCAGGTCCCTCGCTCTCTCCCCATCACAGATGTGGGCCTGGCTGCCTTGCGTGAGCCGGAAAGGCCCCACCAGGGAACCCTCCAGGCGGCTCCCACACGGGTCCCTGGGACTTCTGTGTACTCATCTGCCTCCTCTCCCGCTCACTCGCTTGTCACCAGACTTTGTTGAGGGCCTACTGTGTGCTGTGCACTGTTCTACTGGGGGGAGTTCCTGGGGAAAACTCGGTAGACCCTCTCCCTCAAAGATCTAACATCTGCGGAAGACGGCTAAGTAAACTAACAAACACAAAACAAGGAAATTTCAGAGAGTGATAAATGCCATAAAGACGAAGGAAATGTGATGGGAGTCTGGGCAGACAGCCTTTCAGGGTAGACTGTTGATCTGAAGATAAGGTAGGAGCAGGCTCCTGGAAATGCTGGGGGAAGAGTGGCACAGTGAAGCTCTGAGGGAGGAAGGACTGACGCGTTTGAGCAGTAGAAGGAAGGCTGGTTTGTCCGGTGCACAGCCACGGTGGTGAGCGTGTGGGCGGTGTAGTACAACAGAAGATCGATTTTCTTTTATTCAGCATAACAATCTAAGACCTTTGCTTCAGATTAGACTATTTTGGGCCTGAGATAAAACAGCTAGGTTCCTGGTGTTCAGAAACCTACCAACTTGTTTAAAAAAGAAAGTCATTATGATACACCCTATGTGGCAAGTACTGACACTCAGGCTGTGCCATTCCCTGGGACCTCTAAGGACGGAAGGATGGTGACGGGGACAGGATCTGGAAAGGTTTCTCTGAAGAAGTCGCATTTGAGCTGAGTCTTGAAAGGTCAGTAGGAACTTGCTAGGTGAAGGAACAATAAAGAAGGAAGGGTAGGTCACTCCTGGGGTCCAGGATATCTTAGGTAAGGGATGAAAGAACACTTTGTTCAGAGCTGGGTAGAGATTAGAGAAGATGATAGTGGAGGGAGCAGTCATTGGTTTTCAAACTGCAGTCTGGGACTCATTAGCAGGTGGTGAATAAATCACAACCAGCATTTTAGGAAAAAAAATAGAAGAGAAAGTATCAGAGTAATCCTAGTTGAATTGTTTCTTAAAACTTTTTGTTTTGGTGTTTTATGTGCATATGTATGTTTGTACTGGTAAAACGTATTTCTTACTATGGGTTGAGTCAAAAAGAGTTTGCAAGGGGCCATCTGGTGGCACAGCGGTTAAGTTCACACATTCCGCTTTGGTGGCCCAGGGTTCGCTGGTTTTGATCCCGGGTGCAGACATGGCGTCAATCATCAAGTGATGCTGTGGCAGGCGGCCCACGTATAAAGTAGAGGAAGATGGGCATGGATGTTAGCTCAGGGCCAGTCTTCCTCAGCAAAAAGAGGAGGATTGGCAGCAGATGTTAGCTCAGGGCTGATCTTCCTCAAAAAAAAAAAAAAAAGAGTTTGCAAAATCATTGTGATAGGTGGTAGTAGGAGTTTAAACAAGAAGATAAAGTTTAGGGCCAAATGATGATGTGAGATCAAGGAGTTTGAAATTGATCCTGTGGGAGGCCATGATGGTTTTGACATGTTCTCATCTGCATTAAGGAAAGATGCCAGGCAGTGGTGTGCAAGATAGATTGGAGGGTAGGCACTGAAAGTTGCATAACTGATTGAGAAGTTGTTGCAGGGGTCCCAGTGGAGAGTGGACATACCTCTCTCAGACTGGGTTAGGTATCCCTCCTCAGTGCTGTCACTGCACTGTTTATGTCTCCTATCCTAACGTTTATGACCCAGATTGAAATCAGTTGTTTAATGGTCTGTGTTCCTCCCTAGTCTGTTTGCCCCATGAGAGCAGGGATGTGTTTTCATTGCTGTGTCTTCATTGTGTATAGAATACAATTCAGAATTTGTAACAGAAACTGCAAAGCCCTGGTTACCTCTCTACCCTCATTTCCCACCACGCTCACCCCCTCTTTTCCATGATGTAGTTTCAGAGGCTTTCTTTCGGTTCTAATTTGCTAAGTCTTTCCCTCCCTGGTTTCTTTGCCCAGCCTGTACCCTCTGCTGGGGACCTCCCCTTCACCCATGAATCTTCCCAGCTCCCTCTCATCCTTCAGTTCCCAGAAATGTTATTTCTTCCAAGAGGTCTTTCTGGAAATCCCAATCTAAATACTCCTCTCTCATTTTTCTCTCTCACATTTTTCTTCACTTTTCCTATACTTTTATATTCTTATGTTTATTTGTTAAATATCTGTGTCTTTTACTAGGCTTAGTGCCCGCACATACCAGACACTCAATGATCATTTGCTGAATAAATGAACTTCTGAATAGATAATAAACCTATTAACTGGCCAAGGAACAGAGGGAGGAGGTGATGGGTGACAGATTGGATTGAGGACACAGAGTTTGAGGGGCCTTCAAGTCACTTAGGAGAGATGGCCAGTAAGCAACTTTAAGTACAGACCTGGCACTTGGGAGAGATTCGACCCCTTTGCCTGGTATGAGCATCCACCTCTTCCCCTGTCCCCTTCGTCCCTCTGCTTCTTCCCTGTCCCCTTCATCCCTCCACGTCTTCCCTGTCCCCTTCATCCCTCTGCTTCTTCCCCTGTCCCCTTCATCCCTCCACGTCTTCCCCTGTCCCCTTCATCCCTCCAACCAGAAGTACCTCCTTCTTCCCCTCAACTCACTTTGCAGTTACGCTGTGCTCTCAGATGACTCTTATTTCTCTTCTCCATTTTAGTTGTTGGTGAGCGTGTTATCTCAATTTTGTTATGCTCCATTAGTGCAGGGTGTCATGTTGAGTATGTGTAGAAGGACTGTCACATGTATGCTGTCCTTTGATCTGTATCAGACCCATCTATGTATACCCTGAGGTCACCAGCAAAGTGTCTTGAAATAGTCGAAACTAAATATTTGATGAACGCATGAATAAATTATCATTTCCTATGTTCTTGTCCTCCATTATTTTCTTTCTCTTCTTTCACTGCCTTTAATTTTCTTTAAGGTCTTCACCTCTTTGTTTCTCCCTCTTTTCTCCAGATTTCTATATCCTTTGTGTTCTGGAGATTTCAATATTTTTCCATAAAATAAAACTGAGGTAGTTGTTCTATATCTCAAATATGGGGCCTTTAGTACCTCTCCCTCACAGGGTTTTTGTGATTGAATGTAAAGAATCTAGCACCATGTCTGGGACCAAGTTGGCACTCAATAAATATTCTTTTTCCTCATCCCAAATTTAAAGAGCAGGAAGGACAATCAATTTGAATTTGTGAAAGTTTATTTTTTTGGGAAATGATTTTTTTCCTGATTATAAATGTGATTTATGCTCACTGCAGAAAACTTGAAAATATAAAAAATAAAGAAGAAAAATCATCTGTAATCTCATAACCCAGAGGTCAATAACTTGATATTTTGGTGAATTTCCTTACATTCTTTTTCTATAAATACATTTATTTTATACACTCTGTATAATCATGTGCATGTCATTCTATGTTGAATTGTGAGAATGTTCCCAGGGAATAGAACATTTTTAAGAAAAGGAAATTTTATTAAAGTACACACTGAAACATTACTGACAGGTGAAAGAGGCTTCAGTACTATAGGCTAGCAAATTATGGTATATAGATAAGAGTATTTTGCAATAATTTTTCTGTTTATTTAACATATGGGGCACAGATTACTGGCCGGGAAAAGAAAACAGTGAAATAGTGTTCAATAGTCGGAGACAGTAGGATCTGTGGTGAACTGGAGAATGAATGCCCTGCCTAAAGACATTCAAATTTAGTTTAAGAAACATGATAATGGCCAAACAGAACATGTCTGGCTCACAAGCTACTTGATTGTGAGCCCTGGTTGAGAACATATTTTTAAAGTCTTTTTTTTGGTGAGGGAGATTGGCCTTGAGCTAACATCTGTGTCAATCTTCCTCTATTTTTTTCTTTTTTTTTTGAGGAAGATTAGCCCTGAGCTAACTACTGCCAGTCCTCCTCTTTTTTTTGCTGAGGAAGCCTGGCCTGAGCTAACATCTGTGCCCATCTTCCTCTACTTTATATGTGGGACCCCTACCACAGCATGGTGTGCCAAGTAGTGCCATGTCCGCACCCAGGATCCGAACCGGTGAACCCCAGGCCGCCAAGAAGTGGAACGTGCACACTTAACCTCTGCGCCACCGGGCCAGGCCCAAAGATTTTATTTTTTTCCTTTTTCTCCCTAAAGCTCCTTGGTACATAGTTGTGTATTTTCAGTTGTGGGTCCTTCTAGTTGTGGCATGTGGGACGCCCTCTCAGCATGGCCTGATGAGCGGTGCCAGGTCCACACCCAGGATCTGAACCAGCGAAACCCTGGGCCACCAAAGCAGAGCGCGCGAACTTAACCACTCGACCATGGGGCCGGCCCCTTAATCTTCCTCTATTTTTTATGCGGGATGCCACCACAGCATGGCTTGATGAGTGGTGCCATGTCCGCGCCAAGGATCCGAACCCACAAACCCTAGGCCACCAAAGCAGAGCATGCAAACTTAACCACTGTGCCACTGGGCCAACCCCATTCAACTCCTTCTTTATGCGTAGCCCTGTGTTGGGTGTTAGGGGTGAGACAGATGAAGAATGAGAGAGCTCATGAATATATAAATAATGCTCACTTTATTTAGAAAGGAAGATATGTCAAAGGCTCTCAGTGGAACAAAAGTTCAGGCAGTTAAGTTAATATTTCCATTGCTCGCACCATTATTCAACAAGCCCCTACTTAATAAATACCCTGTGGAACTCAACTGTTTCTATATCCTGGCTGTTAAGTGCTTTTATTGATTCGTTTACAACAATTTTGTATCGAAAAAACCTTTTTAAAATGCTTTGTGTAATTTCTGTAATAGCAGTCACAGTTTATGAAGAAAACACTTTATTGCATTTCTGTTGTCCCAGAAAGAAGGAAGGAAGGAGAAAGAGTGCTCGAACACAGCTGTGTATTGTGTATGACTGCTTTTGTGCTACAATAGAGTTGAGTAGTTGC